GTCGTATGGCCGGACCGAGGCTGCGCACATTTGCTTCATCTTCTCCAGAGCTGCTGTGTTCGGCGGGGTGGATGACCCGCAGGCAAGCGTCGTCCTCCTTGGCGCTGATCATCAGCACTTGTCTCTCGCTGCTCTACAGGATGAGGACTCTATTCTTCTGACTGAAGCTTATGAGTACGCCACCTCTGTTCTTTCGGCTTCTCCTAAGCCGACGCTTCCCCATCTGCTTGCTTTCAAGTTGGTGTATGCGTGGTCTTTGGCGGATCAAGGCCGCAAATCGGAAGCTCAGCAATATTGTGATGCGATTGCAGCTACCCTGAAGGCAACCACTAAGCCATCGCCCTATCAACATCAGCACCTGTACTTCGGTGTTGACGAGCTTTCCGCACGTCTCAGACAAACAACAAGCGACGGAGGCTCATCCTGGATCTCCAGACCCAGCATGGAGAAGGTCTCTGGCTCAATGTGGGCTAAGTTCAACAGTTTTGTTGCCGGCGAGGACAACGAAGCTGGGTCTGCCGGTTCAGCAAAGGCTGGCGATGGAGACATCGGCCCCTTTGCCAAGATCGCAGGTACCCCTACTGTTAGTCGCTCGCCATCGGTGTCGGATATCTACGGGTCGTACTCTGCGCAGCCGAGCTACAGTAGTGGCCCGTCACGTTACCAGCCAAATAACCAGTATGCTCCAACTTCTTCGCCTGAACAGTTGCGTGGCAGATCGTCTCTCGACTCTCAAAGATCATCTTCCTATGGGTTTGGTTTGGCCCAGCGACGCGGCTCGCAGGAACCTTCCACTCCGGTTGAGAGCAACATGTACCAAGGAGGAATGCTGTACAACTCCCCGCCGGCTGTTGGTTATCAGTCGACCCCTCCTCAAACGTCTTACATGCCTCTTGCACCCGTCAAGGAAGACCTGGCTCCTCAAGCTCATGCCGAAGCCTCGACTGGTTCTGTAGAACAGTCTTACGGCAGCGGATCTCCGTATCAGCCCGCAGGTTATGGCTCTTTTGACCAGCCATTCATGAACCAGGCTCCTTCAGACGGGGGTGGCTATATGCCTCCAGGTGTGAGCAGCGGTTATGAGCCTCCTGCCATTGAAAGCCACGCAGAACCTGCAGCGGCACCATCGGAAGAAGTCAACGAAGAAGAGCCAGCGAAGAAGACGTCCTTTATGGATGATGATGACGATGATGATATCGCCGCGCGTGCCGCAGCCATTCAGAAGGCTGAAAAGGCACGCAAGGATCGCGAAGCGGATGAAGCTTTCAGAAAGGCTGCAGAAGCGGATGGTGAGTACTCGTCAACTTGTTCAAGATGAGATTTATACTAACCTATTACTTGTAGCCCAAAAACCTGCACCCGCTAAGAAATCTTGGTTCGGAGGCTGGTTCGGAGGTGCTGCTGGTGGCAAGAAGGAAGACCTGAACCCCAACAAGCCTATCCGAGCCAAGCTTGGTGAGGAGAACTCATTCTACTACGACAAGGATCTCAAGAAATGGGTCAACAAGAAGGACCCCAACAGCGCTACCGCTGCGCGCGCTACCCCGCCGCCGCCGCGTGCTTCAGGACCTCCTAGTAGAACGGCCAGCGGTAGCAGTGCAGCACCACCACCTGCGGCCAGTGCATCCCCAATGATGCCGCCTCCCAGTAGTCGGCCGCCTTCTACTACAGGAATGCCTCCTCCTCCGGGCAGTCCAGCTCTGTCTTCTCTGGGTGTGCCGCCACCTTCAATCCAACGGTCCGTCTCTACTGGTGCCGCTGTCTCCACGCCTCCAAGCGGATTAGCAGCACCCCCAAGGCCAGCAACTTCCTTGAGCAACGCCAGCTCCATTGATGACCTGCTTGGAGCACCAACGGCTCGCAAGGGCGCAGCCGCTAAAGGAAAGAAGAAGGGGCGCTATGTCGACGTAATGGCAAAATAATCCCATCTTACACCTCACTTTGCCAAGTCCACGGAACCTCAAAAACACTGCGGCCATTACATCCGGACCCAGTGTCGGCTTATTTTATATCACCTCACTATCCGATAATGTCTAACGAATCTCCTCCTCGATTCACCATATTTGCATTTGACACTTTATGAAGCGCGTCCTGGCTTTTGCCTGGTGTTTTAGACCCTCAAAAGTCTTGCATGCTGTCTTCTCCGAGAGCAAGACGGCTTCTTTCGGGCGTTGTTTGCATGAACCCAACCCTTTTTCTTTATTATTATTATTATTACTTGTATGTTGTATTTGTGCATATATTATGGTTTATTCGTTTTTATTATCTTTTATGTTTTTCTTTTTCTTTTTTTTTTTTCTTTTTCTTTGTTCTATTTTTCCTTTGTTCTCTCTGATGATGCGGATTATGGAGATGGACGAAACCGAACTTGATGTCGGAGGTATCATGATGCCTCGTGGCAAGTGTACTATATGGCTCTTGTGCATGATTAATTAATACGATGCTTCACTAGTTTTATTTTCAGAGTAGTACTCAGGGCACTCTAACTCCTAGTAGGTAACTTTTATATACGTATTGCCATACATGCATCCCTGCATGAGCACTGATCTTCTGTATTCTCGTAAGATAATCATAATAAATATAATGTTGTATATCCCGTGTTTCCATCTAAACCGCATAAGAAGTAATATAATACTGCACAAAACCAGTCAGCCACACACTCCAAACTAAACCCATAAGAGAATGAATAAGTAACTCACCGTCAGACACGAATCCTGCTCATTCCAACTTCCCGGTAGGAAAACATACAGCACCAGAGCCGTCTCATTAATAAACGCTACGCGCAACCCATCATTAGCCCCAATTACCCAGCTAAAGGAACTGGAAAAGAAAGAAAAAGAAAGGAATCCTTACAAGCAACAACCCTCGGATTTAGTCTCCCGACACTCAAAATCCGACTCCAATCTTTCCCATCAATCCTCACCTTCGCCCACCCCGCCTCATCATCCGCCGGCACCTCCCTCATCCGCTCACTCGGCAACTGACCCAACTCCCTCCCCTCATCCAACTGCCCGGGATCCAAACTCGGATTCAACAGATCCGTCCAGACACTCGATATCCGGAACGCATCCGTCCCGACAGCTACTTTGAGCGAGCCGTGCATGTTAGCGGACAGTTCTAGCTTCGGTGATGATAGTGATGGTGTTGTTGTTGAAGTGGCCCCTCCTGCTGTTGCTGCCGATGATTTGTTCGGAGAGTTCGTTGTAGCTAGCTTGGTAAACCGCTCCGAGATACTCTTCAGCTGGATCAAGCTCGGAAGAAGGATATTTACATCTGGGTCTCGACACCGTGGCTGGTGGAGTCCTTCCACGGCGGATTCGTGGAGTACCTTGATGGGGATTTCCTGGGTGATTACTGTTTCGCGTTCTCGGGGGCCGGTGCCGGAGGGTCTAGCAGTGGCGGCGGTGGCGGTGGTGGTGCTGTTGTCGATGGTGGATGAGGAGTGATCTGTTGCTGCTGCTGTTTCTGGGATGTCGAGGGCATTGGATGTCGTTGTCCATGATGTAGCGCGAATAGTTAGTGCTAGGAGAGGTACGTTGCCCTTTTTGGTGAGTCGCAGGTTGGATAGTTTGGCGGATACGGCGGAGCGTAGGGCGCGGTGGAGAGCGCCGATGGGGATTTCGAGGTTGATTGCTCCGGTATTGGATTCACAGATGTAGGATTCTTCTTCGAAGATGGTGTCCTGGTGGCTGTTAATTTAGGTTTTGAAAGAGTGGGAAGTTGAAGAGGGGAGACGTACGATCGGGAGTTGAGCCCATACTTGTGTGCCTTGGTCAGGGATGATGGTGAAGCGGATGAAGTCTTTTTCGAGACGCATCCAACATACCTTTCCCAGGGAGGAGAGGGAGGCGGTTAGTTCTGGGGAGAAGAGGGGAATGTGGAGTTAGTATGGGGGGTTGCTTGAATTGTATGGGATGGTGGTGATGGCGGCGGTTGATGAGACACGGTTGGTTTGATTTGACTGGGGGAGCTTTGGTGAAAGGGATAGGCGATGGGAAGGCTACTTACTGGAGAAGATAGACGCGTTGGCTATTTGGGTTCGAAAACGCATCTTGATTTCAGGGAATCAGTTGCATGGATTGAGATGTGATGCTACGCTAGTCCACCGGTTTGAAGCCGGAGACGGGTCGAGACTCGAGCAGAGGTGCCTTATCGATGATAAGTTCGGGGATCGGCCGCGCCGGTGGGGATTTGCCGCTAACCCGCGAACCAAACTTCGCGCAAAATAGGGGATCGCCATTGCGGCGGGAATAAACAGACTACTCGTTACGTCGATGATTGAAATTCAGCTATGTATATGAATCTCCATGATTGAGATTACACAATGAGACTTATATGGGTGGTACTTCGGAAGATTGATTGCCATCAGCATACTCAAGTGGTATTACCGAGGCATACAATGGATCCCTAAGCATCGTGGCCTGTATACTAGCCACAAACAGGGCAAGCAGGATAACGACTGCATAGAAGATTCCATGTTATTTCGATGAAACATCAAGCAAACTAAGTCTGTCTACGGGCTGTGAGCAAGTAATCTCTCACGGACATATCTCCGCATACTTCGGGGTGGCGCTCAGCGCCTCATCGACTCCATCTCGGACTGAGACTGAGCTTCCAGTGGACCAACCTTGTTATTTTTGGATTCATAATCATAGAATGTCTATGGCCTAGACTTGATCTGTGTGCTAGGACTTGCAAGGTACCATCTTCTCCCACTCCTCCTTGCGGCTGTCGAGTTAGTGGGATGGCCCCTGAAGTAGTAACAGTCGTATCCATGGTTCCATGGGGATGTCTCCCACGTGGTTCGTAGCATTCCTCGATTGCTTCATCTTCCTTACATGTCTCATCCTTACTGGCACAATGGTGGACTACTGTATGGTTAGGTTCTTTCATCTCAAGGGATCACGAACGGGTGCCCGTCCCTTGCTCCCTTTTGGGAAGGGAAGTCCAGGCACCAAAGGATCTTCCTCCATTGATGAGTTAGCATCCCTGTTAATGGGGTTGTTTTTTGGGTTCCTCTACAATGCCTACTCACTGAGGGGCTCTGGTATTTGTTGCAGGACCGACCTATGTATAGTATCTTGTTTATGCCTTTCTTTAGGATCCTTGCCTGATCCTTGAGAGGTGTCGAGGCTCACGAAGGGAAAGGCTGCCTTGTCGCCTGGTAGCTAGCTATCTGTTCTACCACGACGACAACCAGCTGGAGTAGCAATGTAGCAAATTACACGTCAATGAACAGTAGAAGTGGCGGAACAAACACGATTAACCTCGGATATAGAGGAACGAAGAAGGTAAGACCACTTCAACGGCTGCAAGACACAGTGGGTAGTGTGTTAGGGTACGTGGGTAGGCGGAAGTGCACGGAAGGGAGACAACAGACACAGTCAGACCCCAAAGGCCGCTCACAAATTCCAATAACCAGCCAGATACGATATGCAAGGGAGGGTCGATCACTGATCTGCTATCCGTATGATAAACTCTGCGCTCGAGCAATCAGAAGCAAGAACCGAAAGAGATTATTGACAAGCGGTCGAAGTCAATTTTATCATTTTCATCGTGCACGACCACTTGGGGTCGCACTCCCATGGACTGTCAATTCAATTGATTTCCCACGGATTAAAACCGAGGCACGGCCATTTATTCTGATGACCGTACACAGAACAAAAGGTCAGACAGCGGATCTTTTTGGGGGCAGAAGGACCCGCATCAACTCCGAGGGGAGATGTGTCTGTTCCTTTGCTGCTGCATGGGACTGGATCCTCGTGTGTGAGACATTAAGGAGGGGGTGGGAGATTTTCCCTTCTGTAAGTAAGTACGATGTCGCACAGGAAAATGTGCATTTGGAAATGCTGGCATCCTCCTAGAATGGATGGATACATGAGATCCCAACTATGCTGCATCGATCGAGATTTCTTTGAATATTCTCTGCTTTCGCATTGCGAGGGGAGGGGAAAGGATGATTACTTCCGGTTGGTCTAGAAAAAAAACAAGGCGCGAATAAGAAGGGGAGAAAAGGGAAGGGAAGTAGTACAGTTGGCAGATGGTGAGGCTAATTAGTCGCCAATTTCACAGGGCCAGCACAGTAATAATACTGGTAGCCTATTAATGTAATAATTATTATAATAATAATGATCATAATTATGATCACAAAATAAAATAATAATTATTCAGAATAATAATGAAGAAGAAGAGAATAAAAATAAATGACTGATTTAACGGGGAATCCACAGCTCAGTAATTGGTGTTTGTTTGTTAGTTAGTTAGTTAGCGAACAGTGTATACTTAGTAACTTGGTCTGGTCTTAATTCCCCCTTAATCGATTGGCGGCGGCTCCACCCTTTTTTCTGGCATCGCCAAACCCGCGCGTCTCCGTCCACGCCATCACCAACTCACCTCTGCATATCCCCCCGTCTTCGAATCATCGTCGCCATTTCTGGTCTCGTCACTCTTTTTCCATCTGGGCCCAAATACCTGAGCTGGTCTCTCCGATCATCCTAATCATCCCACCCTCGTTCTTTTTATCTATCTATCGGGCTCTTCCTGCAGCCACCCAACTTTCCCTCGCCCTGGGCTCCCCTCAGCCGTTTTGAGGCCCTGCAGTGTGATCTATCATCATCCGCCGAAACTCTGCTCCTCCAGAGTTCTTATTCCCTCACTTTTCTTTTTTCTCGCCCTAGTTCCTTTTCTTCATTCTTTTGTCAGGCCTTTTCCCCCGGTGTCCTGTCTGCTCACGGTGCTCCGACATATACCTACCTACTGATTCATTCACTGCACCTCCGCAACTTTCCCATCCGGTGATCGCGATTGTAACCAGCTCATCCCCAATCTCACCACCACCCACCCACCCCCCCGACCTTCTGGCTGTCACCTTTATATAGCTTTGGCGGGATCGCGTCAGCATGCTCGCTCTTCAGCTACACCCACTCTCTTTTACACTTGATACTACAGCTCGACCCCCATCACCGAGAACCCGTTATTGATTATTCCGCGACTGACCTGACCCGCTTGTCTGGGAGCCGTCGTTCTCCCGGAGCTTGCCGTTCTATCCCGACATGGCCAGCAGTCGCGTCAACCCCCTTCACCCACCCACTCGTCTACCCACCACCGCGCGGTCCCAATCCCCGGGCCGTCCGGCGGTGCTGGACTATCAGAATCTCGATCCCTTACTCGGCAACCTCTCCCCCGAATCAACCCTCCAAGCGCTGTCCGCAACCGATGCCGTGCCCCGGAATGAACAGGCCGCCCACGATATCCTCTCCAAAAGTATCTCCCAGGTTTCCCCAGCGGAGCGCGCCCTCGGTATCCGCGCAGCCATTGCAGCCCAGAAGCTTAACCTATGGTACAAAGAAGTCCAGTCTTGGGAATGGCCGAAACGGAGTGACATTCAACTAGGCAAGGGCTTCGTTCCCCCTCCAGGCGCTGCCGCGGAGGAGTACTGCGGAAGCCTTCCTAAAGCCGTAGTAGATCAGCATGAAAAACGGATTGAGGAGATCCGGGATGGTATGGATGTCTTGGATGTGGATGAGCTTAAAGAGCACGTCCTCAATGCCCACATTCCAGCCCGGTCTCGGCCTTCGTCCGCCAATAGCACCTTATCGGTGCCTCCACCACTCAGCTATGTCCAACTCAGTGACTTCACGGCCGTCATCACCGCCACCATTCTCCGCGCTCTGCCGCTTCTCTCGCGCTTGAACAGTCTCTTGTCTACCTGGGACGTCCGATTGTTGGTCCTGCGCCAGGTACCCGAACTGCTCCGGCGATTGCGTCTGGCGCGCTCGGAATTGGATTCTGCCTTGGACTTGATCAAGTCGCCCACTCTTCCTGACGAAGATGGCCCCTTGTACTCTCGCATTAACTATCATGCCAAAAGGGCTACCCTGGAACTGACTGTTGTGTCTGCTGGTCGACAATTGGACCGCGTACTCGATGCGCTGGAAGGACGTGAGGACTCACTTCCCGAGAGCTGGATTGATGAACTAGAGGCTATCGAGTCAGAATTCGGAACATGGGTCATGGAAGCCGAACGACGTACTGTCGAAAACGAATGGCGCCGGTCGATTGTCAGTGCTCAAAAAGATGCCCAATACAATGCACCAGAGACAGCGCCGACACAAGCACCACCCGAGATTAGAGAACCTGAAAAGCTGGCCCTCAATACGTCTGCGCCTGTGTCACAGGCTGGCCATCTATTTCCAATGGAGACTATTGCCGAGGAAGAAGTTAGCAGCCCTGTCGAGCCGTCACCCTTGAATGACGCCCAGGACGATAAGGAAATAACGGCGTCGGAACCGACTGTCATACCTGCTACTCATAATGTGGTCGAAGACCTTGCATCCCCCGGTACATCCGATGCGACGGACTCTTCGATCAAGCCTGCTCAGAGCACTGTGTCCATTGCCTCTCCACAGGAACCCTTGGCATCTAGCTCCACCGTCAAAACCCTTGCTCCCTCTCCCAACGGCTTAGAAGGGATCGATGCCCTGACGGATGATACCCAGGCGCTTCAGCCAGTCATTTCGGAGGTTACCCAGCCTCTGGAGGGGCCGGAGTCGAGCATTGAGACGAACGCATGCAATGACTCGCCTCCTGATCATCCCGATTCCGAGCATCACTTCTTGCCGCCTGTTCCTCAACAGGCGATCACTTCTGTGCCGTCTGTCAGCTTGTGCGAAACCTGTCCGAGCCCACTCGAAGACGTGACACCCCGGGCTTCTTTAGATATCCAGGCTCGCGAGGCAGTCTCAACCGACCCTACAAAGAAGGCTGCAAATGCGCCTGCATTGTTGGAGAAGGAAGAGTACGCCGATGTTATGCCGGCGTCGGGGTCTGACGTACTTCGTCATTCTTCACCCGAAGTGAAATTGCAGACCCCTGCCAGCCCGGGTACACCATCATCGGATGCCGGTAGTGTGATCGTACGTCGACGAACCAGTCCAATCCAATCGCCTCTCAGCCAACAGGAAAAGCTTTCCACGGATAAGGAAGCGGTCTTGAGTGATTCTCACAGCCCTAGTCCCGTGTTTGAAAGCCGCGAGCAACGGCAGCTTATTCCTATTGAGAGTGAAGTTGCTAGCCCAGTCAGTGTGGCGGCCCAAACCGATTCCGCTGATAGTCCTGCTGCACAGTCAGGAAGCCGGAAAGACTCTTGTCAATTGGTGCCTGCGAATGCTGTCCTTGGGTCTCCTGTCCGCTCGGCAACCTACAACAATGAGGAGCAGCCCCCAAGTCTTCCTGCAATCAACGCGCATGAAGAGTCCCATAGTGGCAATACACCCAAAAAGCCGTTAGAGAGTCCGATCAAACTGTCGAAGTCTCGGCCAGGACGCTTATCTTTTGAAAAGGAGAAAAAGAAATCTCGAGGCCGGCGCACGTCCACTGATTCGTCTTGTTCGGATTATCCATCACTCGTCTCCAGCCCTGAGATTCGCGAGCCCCGTACATCCTCCTCCAATGGAACGCCTCTGCTGCTTGAGACTCCTCCACCATTCCAGGATGGGTACCAGTCATCCGACCCCGTACCACCTGGGAGCGATCACACGTTGCGAGAAGATCGTTTACTCCGTCTGGATAACCAAAAGCCATCGCCACGTGCCAATTTCGCGCATAATCGAAACCTCAGTCTTCCATTGCAGCGTTTCATCAACGAAAGGTTGGAGATGAATTACGATGACGAAAGCGGCAGTGACTTGGATGGCGTTGCTTCCAACAGGAAGTCCACGGACGTGTATGCGGATTTACGGCTGGGCCAGAAAAAGGCACTGTTGCCTGCACACATCAGCAAATTCTCCATTCCCTCCGATAGCGCACAGCGATCAGCAACCCAGCCTCTGGATGCACCGAGTCAAGGCAGCCCTAGACCGGTCACCAATGGCACCACCGCTAAAGTCCTATCCAAGGCCTGGGAGCACAAGAAGGGCCCCGTCCCGAAGAATGCAAACCGTAGTGGTCTGCAACCGGAACCGCCTGTACACTCAAGCACCAACCGCTTGAGGAGACAGTTGACTTCGCATCCTAGTCTCGAGAGTATTGGGGCGTATAGATCCAACGCCCGGTCTGGCGATGACACGTCTTCGGTTACAGCTATTTCCAGGGCTGGATCTCGACCATCCACTCCAGGCTCGCAGCTGAGAAGAACCAAAGATCATCTCGACGAGAAAATTAGTTCTATCTTGTCGACCCTTCCTGCTCGGATCCATCTGATGTCAGCTGATGGCCAAGACTTTGATGCAGGGTCTGCGGCGACGTCAATTCCCTTGAAGGCTAGGGAACGATTCCGTTCCATATCACCCCAGGGAACGCCGTCCCGGAGCAGCACGCCCACGCCATCCTTGACCCTGACAGCTGCGCCCTCGCGCAGGAGGTATTCTCACGCTCACGCCCCAGAGGAGAGCTCTGTGAAGCTCTACCACCTGCATCGAGGTGGAAAGTCTGCCCCGACCAAGCTTTTTGTTCGGTCAGTGGGTGAAAAAGGAGAACGCGTTATGGTCCGAGTTGGCGGTGGGTGGGCAGACCTGGCTGAATACCTGAGGGAGTATGCCATCCACCATGGACGCCGGCATGTTTCAGATACCCCTCGTGTCGAAGTCCAGGGACTGTCCACGCGTACCTCTCCCACGTACTCCGTCAGTGGGCGCCGCACTCCCTCCCGGCCGCGGTCTGTCATTGGCAATCGGCCGTCTTCTTCATTGGCTGTGCGCAAGACCAGACGTACTTCGAATGTGTCGGATGTAACCGAGTTCCGGGCGGCGCAGGCAGCTGGCGACTCACTCACTGCCTCGTACTCGCCTATGTCGACTGTCTCATCTCGCAGAAGACTATCAGCCTCATCCAATGCCTCCATGGGCGCTGCCTCTTCAGCCAGCGAATTCCGTCACGGATCGTATTCTCCTTCCACCACTGCTGCAGGTAGCAACTCTCACTCCATCCCACTCGGCCTTGCAGGGCCGAAGCCGCGGTCGAGAAATGTCTCGATCAGCCCGGAGAGTGAGGCGTGGGTTGAAGATGTTCTTGGCCAAGCTCGGAGGAGCTCGTCCCTCAGGCCATACAACTATGGCCTGTCAACCCAAGACCCGGAGCCTGCTTCTTCCAAGGCTCCAACCATTCCCAAGTCGAGAAGTATCAGCGACCTGGGAATGGCGGGTGCTAGCAGACGTGTCGCACTACGCGGACTTGCAAAACGATAAACCTACTCACACCTCTATCCTAATCTTAATCCTTCCAAACGCTCACCCCATCTACATTCTTTCTCCCACACGCTCCGCCCCTCCTCTCACCTGCATTGTCTACTAGTACTGGCGTTTTGCCGTTTTCCTGGGTTTCTCGGTTTGGACACACGGGGTACTAAAAGTGTTAGACAGCTGCATGCATTGTCCGTTTCCATCTTCTTTCGGTTGCATTATCGGGCGAATGTTTCACTTTCTTTCTTTTCTTTCCCTTCAACCTTCTCATAACAAGACATACATCATTCTTGTGTCTTGGCTATGCTATCTTCATCTTTTCCCCACCATTGCATGCATCAGCGGGTTTCATTCTTGTTTTATCATATCTTTTTCTTCTTTTTTTTTCTTCATCCATTCCTCCCAATTATTGTGGGAGATGATTTCTTCAGCCTTCCGGTCCTGGTTGACCGCATTTTCTATTCTACTTTCGTCTGACTCCTGTCTGTCTTGCGTCTGCTTGTTTGTGTTTTCACTTATTATTATATTTAGCCCTTGATTTGTATGTAGATACCCTTAGGTAGGCTTGGGTCTTTTGTTGTTGTCGCTGTTGTTGGTGTCGTCCGTCCGTCCGTCCGTCCTCTTGCTGGATAGAAAGAAGGACTGACTGGCTGGCTGGCTTGTTTGATTAATTACATACTTAGTACATAGTGAGGGATTTGATGAAATCTGTTGATACTACTTCTATTCATGTTTCATTCAATGTGAAACAGTACTCGTAAGGAAGTAGATGAAAGTTCAAGTAAATAGTAGTAGCAGTACGCGACAAAGAAAGAGAAAGGAGAGGGAAAAAGAACGCCACCATACCATACCATACCCACCAAACCAAACCAAACGAAGCCGAACGAGCAAACAATATCCAGATAGTAAGTAAGCATCCGTCAATCATTTCATTACATGATACAAAATGAGGAGTTATAGAAATGAACGAAACGTAACAAGCGGGGCATAATTCGTGATTTGGACAATAGGCGTCCACGCTAGTCCAGACTGGAGAAGCAGAATAAGAGCACGATAGTATACTGACTCTACGAGGATTCTCCCTTTGCAGGCTGTTCCTGCTGCTGCTGCTGTTTCGGAGGCGATTTACGTGCCCATGGGATGTCCTTGTGAAACAGTTCCCTTAGTTCCGGGGAGACGACTTTCGTTTCTCCTTCACTGTCGGGTGCTGAACTGGGGCCGGCACTGACGCCGCTGCTGAAAGCGGTGCTTTGGGGTCGTTGCGGCGATTTGCCTTTGTTGTTTGTGCTGGTGGAGGAGTCTTGTGTGGGCTTGCGTTGGTGGGCGGCAGGTGCAGGGAAGTTGTTTTTCTTGTCGATGGCCTGGACGGCACGTTCGAAGCGGTGGAATAGGGATTCGGCGCGTGTGAGAATAGGGATGAGTTCCATTGTGTTGGAGAGTTCGTTGACTGCGTGGTGCGGATGTTAGAGACTTGTCTTATAAGGTATTGTGGAAGTGATTGGTTGGACTTACTGTACTTCAGGACTTCGTCGAACTGCTTCAGGTGGTCCATTATGACATCCCGGTGTTTTTCCAGGATGGCAAGTGCGATGAAGAGGTGGAAGCTGCTGGACAAGTAATCGGTCCATAGTGTTTCCCACAGACGCAACACGTCTGGCCATTCGAATTCGCGCTTGTACCAGACCAGGAGCATCCGGAAGAAGAAGAAAAAGTTTGTGCTGTCGGCGGATTGGAGGTGGAGGTAGAGTTGAGGATCCATGAGCTGAACAAGATGGTCTAGAGTGAGAAGTTGTACGCGCATGCCAGATTGATCGCGGAGGAAGTTTCGTTCCTGTTTGTACCCATCAGCATGATACGAAGTAGCTTTGGCTGCCATCGAGCTTACCATTCTGTCCATGAAACCAACGAATGCCCAGAATGCAACTGCATCATCCTGCATGACAGCATAAATTGGGGCTAGAAGATCACTCATGCCTTGCACGTAGCCCAGGTCCGGGTTGTATTCATTGTATGTGAGCAACATATCCTTCATCTGTTCCAGATGCACATTCGTGCCAGTATCCGCAAAAGGCGAATCCGGGTCTGGGTGGGGAATGTCTTCTCCAGCAAACAAGGGTATCGTACGGTCTGTGCGATGGACATCCTTTTCTGCGCGCATATGTAAGTAGAGGCATATGGTACTTGGGCTGTAGAAAAACTCACCTATTCTATTTCTTTGCTCTTTCCACCAATCATACTCTTCCGCTGAAGAATTGCCTTCAATCATCCGTTCCCACCAGGCACCTTTAAGCCGGATGTACTCATCCCGCTTCGAGTTCATCAATGCTTGTCGCTCCTCGTGGCTGCTATCCCACGGATATACCCCTAGAAGGTAGAGCCATGCCTCTTTCCTGACGCCATCATTCGGATCCAATCCACCATGGAATATCCTTTCCTTGACTTCGTCGACAGTTACATGCAGCCTTCCAGTATTTGGGTCGAAGAAGCCCTCCCACTCTTTCAGAGTGAGTGTCTTCCGACGGTCCTGGATAGACATGGTACCTGTCTCAAGGTCAAGGATCTCAAAATCTCCAACAGAACTGTTTTCCATGCTAAGGACATCTTGAGCAGTATATATCCGTTGATTTCTTTCGCGTTCACTCTGCTCTGATATGCTCATCGCCCACCGTGCTAAGTATAGCCTGGCGCTATCGAACTCATCCTGTAAAGTCTGAATTTCAGGAGTCCTCATCAGACGGCGGACTTGTGGGGGTATCCGAGGGTTGTCAGCTAACTCATTGGCGGTACGTCTTGTGAAGGTTGTGATCTTGCTCAGCTGCTCAAGAACCTTCCACCTCGTCTCCTTGAGTGCTTTCACAAAGGGGTCCATCCCAGCATCGCGTTGGCCGCTTCCGCTGGCCTGAGCAACGGCAGCCGGTTCATCTTGAGCCTTGACAGTTGAGCCATCTGCAGTGAGAGGTCGTCCAAACGATATGCGGTCTTCATCCGATGGGTTGATCAGATATACACTATTGTCCACGGCCGAGCGCTGGACCTCAGCGAATTTCCGAAGCCATCGCAGAACCTCATCCCCGCCCCAGAAGACATTTCCGTCCTCACCAAAGGGATCAAAGCTCTCCCTGGTTCGCCTTTTCTTCTGCAGGATTGTTGACTCGCACTCCGTGTCATGGAAGAATAGCGCGGGGAAACTGTCGCCTGCGCGGGTGTTGATTACAAGACTCCCGAACCACCAACCTAGACTTGGAGGTCGCACAAGGAGTGAGTAAATTTCAGAGAGAGGAACTGCAAATGCGTAGAGGCCGATCGGGTCTTTATAAGTCGTTGTCGTCGGAAGAGCGGGCACTAGGTATTTCTGTCGCGGAGGGGAAGAACCGTCGGATAGATCGACTTTGACATAGGTACTGTATGCATCACCCAAGGAAGATTCGGGGACCCATGCTAGCAGGTAGGAAGAGAGGTCTGATGAGGAGTTTCCGGAAGTGGTCTCTCTAAGAGGGGGGAGGGGCTTTTGTTGGACGAGGGCAATAAATCCGGGGATATTATCTTTCGAGGAAGGAGTTGGATGGACGTAGACCTGCAATGCTCGGAATCGAATGGATCAGCGAGATATTCCTTTTAATAGCTTGTAGATAAGCCTACCTTGCTCTTGGAAAATAAGAGCTTGACTCCTCTGCGTGAGGTGGAGTGAGAAATGGTGTTGTATTCATCCTCCTCATCGTCACTGACGTCGTAGTACGAGGCCGTGGGCGAGGGCGGCGAAGGAGGAGGGGTATATTGGATTCCGTTGCCTGCCATATCGAAGGGAGGAAGCGGAGAAGTGACTTTTTCAAGGGACTAAAGTGATTAGGACCTGCTCATAATGCAGACTGAAAGTGAAACTGGATTTCCTTGAAGCTGGTCTGGAATGCCCGGAAAGTCAGCGCCGGTCGGCAAAGTGATGATTGCGGAGAAGAAAGCAAGTCACGACCGCCGGTCACGACGTAATCGTGGGGTCCACCGCTTCCATGTGATCGCCTTCATCATCCCAGAGACGGAATTCATTCAACTTACCTTGCAAATGAATTTTCTATATTGCACAGGATACCAAACAGTCTGCTTGGAATACGGTGCTTGCTTGAATTTGCAAATCAACAGTACCTTGCTACTAAGCACCTCCATTGTTGCCACCGATAAAATCGATGACTGAATCGCCCAGGCAGCAGCGAAACTATCATCATATTTGATAATCCGCTATCAAATCAATCAATAGCAAAGGAATCCTGCTGCCCACGCAGTATTCCTTCAGTTGCCCCTACTATTTTGTACTGCAGAAGCTTGAGTCGAGGACTTAAATCCGGTGATCACCCGCAATTGCACCAACATATGAAAAGCGTTGTCTCATACTGAGCCACGGGCGTGGCAATAGAGGGTAGCATACCTGCCTTCGTTTAGTAGCAGTCTTGGAGAAAATAGACGTACCGCCTATAAGTAATGAGTTGTCTGCTCGGAGAAATAACTTATATCAGAAAATCAGCACTCTATGCGGCAAGAGTTCTAAAGAGTCCTAGATTAGGCATTTATCAATACGTCTGGTACCATTAAAGTTGATAGCCCCGATTAGTCCTGAAACTTTGCAAAAGTACCCTCTTAGCTTGATTATACCAAACCCCCAGAACTGTTATCGGCTTCACTCCCTTACCTCCAGTCATCTCAAGCAGAGAATGACCGGACTAATGCGGACAATCCTTCCTACGTGTCTGGCTGACAGAACTGCAACCTTACGTCTGGACCGGTTTCATCTGACCTGCCGGCCTTCAGTCATTCGCTGGTACAAAGGACCACGCCTATACTATCATCGCTACTAATGCACGGGATTTTATACCCTCTTCAGGAAATGATTCGCTATCCAATAGATAATGGTTTCAGGTACTTGAGAATGACAGAGTTCATTGCCTTCAGACACCGGCATCCATAAATACTAGACAGCTGCTTCATACAGTCTGTAGCCAAGCTGCGTCGACTGCAAATCCCAACTCGCAGCAATGTCCGAGCTTATGCGTACCTTGCCGGCCTCCTGGTATTGCAGCCAGCCTCTCTATCAGCTTGAAAGAAGAGCAGTCTTCCTGAAAGTATGGTCAAAACCTATCGTCAAGGATATTGGAGCACTGATAAGATTCTCAGTCGTGGTATCTTGTCGGACCCGTCACTAGATTCTGTGACATAGGCGCCAAGGTTGAGTATGAAATAGCTCAGCAGCCTATATATGTTGTTCGGTGCGCTGGAGAGGGTCCATTTCCTGGACAGGATGAGATCCAAGTAATCTGCGCGAAAGGTGTAGGTCAGCTCAGCATCATCACCTGCATCAGACTGAGGATGCGTTCCATCCCCCAATATGTCCAAAGAGCTTCTTGTTCCTGATCAGCACTTAGGAACGACCTTTAAAGCATCACGTCACGCCAACAGGCCTTGTTTTCGCTACTCTTTCAGACGAGGCGCCCAGCTTCCATGAGTATTTCCCGGATTTGGAGCCACTACTCCAACGGGTGAACTTCACCAAACTCCCGTACAGACACAGCATCAAATACGAGGGACGCTTTAACTGGAAGACTATGTACTTGATACCTTTGCCTCGTATTCGGGAAGTGATCATGTCTCCCTGACCTAGCTTCCATGACAGGGTCGACGGCTACCAGGAATGCCTGCATTGCCAATACACCCACCCGTCATTCTCCGTATACTACCCGCCAACCTCGTACGCGGTGCACAATCATCAGAACTTTTCGCAGCATATCGCAGACCCGGAAAAGCCGGATGATGGTCTATTCCTTTACTTCTTCCCGAATTGTACTCTGAATGTGTATGGTGGAGGAATGTCCTCGTTCCGAGTATGCCCAACAGATGACCCGAATGTAACGAGGATGGAGTTTGACTACTATCATATGGAGTCCGGCGAGAAGTTCGACGAATACTTCAAGTTTGTTCGGCAAGTGGCCATGGAGGACTATGAACTGTGTGAGAAAGCTCAAAGCAACCTCACTAAAGGCATCTATAGCGAAGGCATCCTCAACCCGGAGAAGGAGAGCGGAGTGTCATGTGAGTTACATGAGACCACCTACCTGCCCATATTATATTAAGCTAATCAGAAGGTAGATTATCAAGACCGGGTCTTCGAGCTCGTGTGTCAGCAGCACGCAGCAGAGAGACGAGAAAGGGAAATGGAAGGTGGGAAAGATGATACTCAGGAGAGGGGTTTGCAACGTATCACAACAGCTGCATAAGACAAAGCTGTGTAAGCCATGGTTTCGGGACTCGGTAACATGATCAATCTTATCAGTGGCGTTGATTTCAGTTTTCTGCACGGGCTGGCTCTGTAATAGTCCCTGTATATGGTTCCTATTGATGTGTGGCATCAGATAAACCCTTGGCCAAAATCGGCCCAGCACATACTTCAAGCGTCATTCATGCGCAAGTTACTGGAAAATAGCACCATATCTGGAAGGTCAATACTAGCCTGGAGTAGATATAGTTACTTAAGTGCATGGTCACCTGAAGACTTCCTCTTCTCTCACTGGACGGGGAAGCGGGAATCATGCAAACCTGTGGAGGTGACTGGGTCAGTGCTCTGTTCCTGATACTGCTTGATTGAAACCTCGGGATGCCTTTTCGTGCGATAGTAAGCGCATAAAAACAACTGATTCCCTGTAGAAAGGTATGGCGGACAAAACAGTTTCAACATGGCTATGGAAGAACCGTATCCGGCTCTGCCTCCCGCCTTATCGGCCCTGGTCTTGGTTTTATTGCTAGCGGGGCTAGCTTTCCTTCTTCAATCTTTATCAAAGCCGCTCTTCCGGGGTTATAAGTTCCTGCGTATAGCTAAGCCGACGGAAACCGAGCTGGATCCTGTTCCCGATGGTAACGAAAACATTGTCTGCAAGGAATCGGATTTTCCACAAAACTGGTGGACTGGCTCAGATGTCTTTGAACTCGAAAGACGGGCAATCTTTAGTAAAGTACGTTGCACCATATTACTTCACTTTATGAAACCACGAAATCAAACAAGATACTCACATAAATTCAATTAGAAATGGCTCTACCTAGCCCACCGTAACCGGTTCACCAAACCCGGCGATTACCATTCCTTTGAAGTGGCCGGTATCCCAATTTTCCTGGTACTGGGGAAGGACGGCGTCGTGCGAGTGTTCCATAACGTCTGCCGTCATCGAGCATACACAGTCACGCGGAAAGAGTGTGGCTCCTCTATGATCCTTGGATGTCGATACCATGGCTGGAGCTATAACACCAAGGGAGAGCTCATTAAGGCGCCTTACTTTGACAATGTTCCCGGATTTGACAAGACTCAGAATAGTTTGTTCTCAATTCATACCACAACAACACCTGCTGGCTTTATATTCGTGAATTTGGACGCATGCCCGACGATGGTGCCATTGCAGACAAGGTCTCTCGATGCCTTTGCGGGCAGACATGGCATCGGACGACAGTCTACGTGGCTGGGAGGGCATACAGTGGAAGGTCAGTTTAATTGGAAGATTGCTTGTGAGTTTCTCTACCGTCTTCTTTGTCTGAGACAACGTGCATTTGACTTGTGAAATAAGTGAGGTTGCAGAAATTCATCGACCACACAGAACTGGAGACTGAGTTCTCACAGCCAAAATTAAAAACGCTGTTATCGAGCTTGTTCAATTCATCACGAATGCGCTCGGAGGATGTTAGAGTCTTCCCTTTTACGACGATTCATACCGTCCGCGGAGGGGTACTGTGGTACTCACTGAGCTTCATTCCCATATCTGAGAGCAGGACCGCGGTCCGGATTGACTTATACACCCACAAAGACATGGGTAGTCCTGCGTCTTCACCAGCAGCAGAAACACTCTTCAACAAATTGTCGAACAGTATCCGAGAACTAGAAACCCAGTTCGAGTCACCTTCTGGAACAGCAACGTACGTTTACAAACACGAAAATTAGATGGAGAACTAAACAGTCACATCTCTAGGCTCCCCACCTATATCACATCAGCACCAGACCCAACTGGCACAGGTAAACCCCAACCCAACCTAATCCCTCATTTAAACATCAATCTTACCAACAATGTACCAGATACACAGAGTGAGATCCTCGAGGCCATTAAATCCCACGCCAAATTAGAAAAACAACTAGGGGCCGAAATTTTCCCGGCTACGAGGAGACCTAGAAGCAACACACGATTCGAGCAGGCTGAACAAAGTTAGTTGATTGAGTCCCTTCCATATCACTTTTCTTTTTCTGTGGTGCTGAAATGAAACTACAGTCTGCAAAGACCTAGATTGCCAAGAAACGTGGAACAGCAAGAGTCTCGCTTGGTGAGAATGCATTGCACAGGTATTACTGTTGCTTTATTAGTGAATTCTGTTGGCTGTATCACTCAGTCGAATCAAGTCAGTTAGTTAACTATCCATAATTGGTTTCAATGATATTTAATGCAAAACAAAGTTATGGATTGATTCAAGGGATAACATCTAATTAGTCTAACACAGCGGTTTCAGACTGGGCGGGGAGGGGAAAACTTCATTTCATTATTACTGGCCGAACGAACACAACAAATAGTAGTACTAGTCGAACGTTCTTACGAAATCATGACCGCAAGGGAGAAATTGGACAATTAGGTAGTAGTATAAGTGATGCGAGTAAAACATAAGGCTGGATGGACTGCTTACTATTAATGACAGAAGAGTAAGTAAGTACGGAGTAGTAGAGAGAACTACGCATGTACATTCCTGGCTGGCTGGCTCGTACCAAAAGTCAATGTGGATCCCCACCATCATTGTCAAGGGTCCAGTGGCAGCGGCAGCGTGTAAACCTTCCCTTTTCTCCCTTGAAACCCACCCCACACTTCCCATCTCTCACCGATACTCAGTAGTGTTGATCAGGGCCGCCATCTACAATTTAACTCCACGGACCCTTTAAAAAATATTTAATTCCAGGCCAAAACCTAAGGACACAAGTCTTTCCAGGAAGTCTCCTCCACCTCTAGCCTCAACTTCCAAAATTTCTTAACGCAGGAACACACATTTAGCCCCCAGCTCTCAATTAATTAAAACCACGCGGTTCTGGGCCGACCGATCGATCTAAGAATCCTGGCACGATTCGGACGAAGTAAGTGCTGAAGATCGCCAACAATAACTCCGATCAGGCTGCCCATAATCTCTCTCGGGCCAGTACGGAGAAAGACTTTGTTATTTCCGGCCACGTGGTTGCGAGCTGACGCCGGAGCAGACTATACGAACTTGTGTGGCACACGCGTCGGCTTATCTTACTAGTATCTAGTATCTGGCCATGGCTTTTCCTCCGATAGCGAGGGCGACCTTGCAAGCGGCGCTGATTAATGCTGGTTCCAATGTCCTGGCTCAGGCTATTGGGGCTTATAGGGATGAGGTATGTTGATTTGATGTTTCCTCGGTAAATGTGAGATGTTTGGCAGTAATGTTGGGCCGGAGATGAGTGATTCATTCGCTCTTGTGCGGAGTATTAGCTACTGCTGTTCGATTACAGCTTCACTGACTATTGACTCGGTTCATTGGCAATTCGTGAGGGTGGTGCATCCCATGATTGCCGATACTATGACGCCTATAGAGACCCTTTGAATTAGACACTCAAGTCTTGTTTCAGTTCACTACTTGTGCCTTTGTTATTTCACCCTTGACCTTCTTGTGGCTTGAGGGTCTCGAGGCGAAATTTCCGGGCTATGATGAGAGCTCTGCTCCCAAGCCGAAGACGGAGAAGAAGGGGGCACAGAAGCCCAAATTGAATGTGGCGAATACTGTGGCGAAGATTGTCATCGATCAGATTGTCGGCGGTGCCTGGAACACGGTAGCCTTTATCATGACAATGGGACTTTTGCGCGGCCAGAGCTGGGATGCCATTACGCTGCAGATCCAGAAAGTTCGTTTCTAGGCTTATGTTGCTATGACTGTTGGATGCTGACCCATCATTGCCAGGATTTCTGGCCCATCCTGATCGCGGGATTCAAGCTGTGGCCTATTGTCTCTATCTTGAACTTCACAGTTGTACCAACAGACAAACGGCTGCTTGTTGGCAGTCTTTTTGGTGTGATCTGGGCCATTTATCTGAGCCTGATGTCTGGTTGATGCTGTATTAGGTCATCTGAGGAGCTTTCCTGGATTGCCAGGCTAACGGGTCTATGTTGAAAGCTAGGTTGGGCGCCGAGGTCCTGGGACTTGTGGGTGGTGTTCATGTTGGCTTAGCAATTTGTTTGACACCGAGTCTCAAGATTCGCAACTTGTGCTTCTTAGAGCACTAGTATATAAAAGTTGAGACATTACTTTATCCTACCGCGTTGGGTAAGCTCGCCAGGGGGGCGACAGAGACCTGACAAGTGCACGCAAAGGGAAGGAGCCTGATCAAGTCAGAGATAAAAAGGGGCCAGAGGTGAAATGACGGCACTGCGCTAGATAAGTAGTTTACCGGACCATGCTCCGCATGATCATCAGACAACGTTGAGATTAATGAATGGTTTGTTGAGCGACCCGTTTGTTCCATTTGGCCCCCATTTTCCGTCCCCCGAGTACCCGAGAGCTGCAATAGGGAAGCCTAGCTGAGCTGCAGGCCCACCTTGATTTAGGGGCTGGAAGCCTACAACACATGGCACGGCATGGCCTCTGTAGCCCGTTAATTGGGCGACGGGCGTTATCGCTTGCAGGTAGATAGAGGAAAGTACGGTCCAGTGCGGGTGTTCCTGAACCGTAACCTGATACGGCATGGTAATGCAACTCGAACCCACCTTGAGAGTATTAGGATGATCTAGGCAATCATCGCGTAGACAGCTTTCCTGGTGTTAATTTGGGAGGTCCAGAAATCACGCTGCTACGAAGTCTTTAACAGGAGTCAGTCAGAATATAGTCAGGTGACATGTATGGGGCTCTTATCGACAGGCGATTATGTGCCTCGCGAGACACGCCGAAACGCAGATTCAATCCAGACGAGATTCAAATGGCTGCAAACTCTCATGGAACCAACGCCAATTTGAACCATGATGCTCTCCAGTAACCAGGTGTTTATTCGTCGAGCAATTACGTAGTAATGAAAATAGTAATCCATGCGCGGAAGCAGCTGAGGCGATGGAGTTCGTCTTAGCTAAGTGATGGTGATCGGCTGTCTCAAACACATTTGTATTGATCCCGGGACTGGAGGAACTGAATAACAAGCGACCGTTCGTATGAATGGATCGATCCCTCGAGTCTTACTAAGAAAGCATGCTTCCTTTGAACTCAACGACTCCGTAGAATTACGGAGTTTAAAGACGGATTTACGTACCCGCAGATCCGTTTCATTGCATGCAGGCATGAGTGTGCTCCGACGTCCGAAGGCCGGCGACATGATTGAATCCATGATGCTGGGCACCCACCTACCTGGGTTTGCATGAGGCAGACAGGGATGGAGAGAGACGGCCTACGCAATCTACTGGGGATTGTTATCCCAGTCCGGGTTTGGTGTGCTTCCTAGTATCTCATTCGTGAGACACTGCCTGGTTCCCAAGCCACAGCGAATGGCGTTGCATTTTAGCGTCTGCACTGGATCAAAGTAGGTCAAGGTGGGTTAAGAGGGAGAAATTAATAGATCAAGGCTGTGGCTGCAGCAGAGTTCGGTAACGGTCATACGAGCTGAAGGGACAATGGGGACTGCGGGAGGATTGGCGATCAGAAGGCTGGTGGATGGCGCAGCCACGATCTGGGTCTTTTGCAGATTCCACAACTTCATGATAGAGTAGTCCCTCGAGTGTAAGGCATTTTGCTGGTAATCTATCTGCCATAGGGAAATCCTCGTAAGGCGGCACCAGAGGATGAGATTATCGTCATCAAGATGGAGAAAGAGAGTGAGAGTGACTGGGGGAGGATGTTTGGCCCCTCGGATCCGGAAAGACGGGCGGAGACTCAAGACTGACAAGAAACAACTCGCTTTCCTCCCCGGGAAAAACATAGTGGCACGGACAACTACAGTAGTCTCCCTCACTAAAGTGTGTATCTACTCCCTACTAGGAGTAGTTTTGGCCCCCGCGGTTTTGAGTCGATCCATTCTTCGTGCCACCGTCTCCCTAGCCTATCGCTGTGCCCATCCACTGCTGCTTACTCCATTAATTATTAGCTGGCGTCATGTCCCCAACTGCCCGGACGCGCATTCCCTCCGATTTAGGGATAAGAAAAGCACCTCCCCCCGGCACGTGGAGTCTGCGACAACCAGGATTTCGAGTCAGATTTCATTCCAGTCTTACTTGGGTAGGACTTCAATGGCATTTCTATCTGCTACAACCTCTCATATACTCGTACGTGTGCATCTCACGACTCTTTGTCGGTCGCGCGTCATCTGCTCCATCGAAACTCTTTTTCTTTGTTCGCCCGCTCGGCGTTGACTGTCAGTATACTGAACCCAACACTGCGCTTTCCGTGATCCCTTTGAGCTGATCCGTCGCGAACAGTCGGGTGCCACCTTTCGCTATCCTTGTCACCCTTTTTGAAAGGGTTCACGCAAACTTGGGTCCAACCTTTATTGAATTGTCGGAACGGCTTTCTCGCGTTCATCTCCGGCCCTCCACTTCGGACTCCGCTCGTTCGGATTTTGGGAGTATCTACTTAGTTCGGCCAGTCGTACTTCTGAATATACGGAACAAACCCCGAAATAACATTGTCGGACCCAACAAAGGATAACAACAAGGGCGTCTTCAAGACCATGTTGTACAAGTCCCTAAACGGACGGGTGCACTGTGCCATATGACAACGGACTTTGTGTGTAGGTAGCAGCCAATTGTTACCATCGAACCATTCAGGTGCCCCAGGGGAAAGACTGTTGGCTCGGTGCGGAAGCCAGTCCTACGTTAAACAGGATTTCAAGAGTTGGTATAGGGCTAATTAAAGGCCCCTCAGTCCCAAAGATGGATGTGCTGGACTTGCCTAAGCGCAATTCACCCATTTCACAACCCACCGCTGTCGCAATGGGAACAACATCTCCCCATCCTGAAGAGAAGGCGTCAGATGCCCCATACATGGTGGACGATGACTTTGCTGGAGATGACGAAGACGGCGATGATGATTCTATTTCGCCTATTTCTGAGAGAGCACCTCCATGGTCTGGAACTCGCTGGGCTCGTTTTTTCCCCGAACTGTCCTCTCACTTCTCCTTGGCATCCCCTACTAACAGTACATACCCGCCCTTGCCGCAATTTCACACGAAGGGCCCGCCTCATATTGACGGTCCTTCACAGCAACCGGAAAGAAGGAGTAAAGGGCCTTCTTCTCTGTCGTCTGAAGATGTGGCGGATAACAGGTCATCAAGTTACACTAGCAGGTCTTCCTTAACGAGTCAGGGATCCGAAGCTACATCACCAGTTCATAAATTGGTGGATAGTCTTCACATAACGTCACCCACAAGGGCTGGCGTCTTTGACGAGTCAAAATATGCGCATCAAATTCCTCCTCCGTTCCCGAGCCGCTCTTCAATTGCTCAGTCCAAAGACAAGCCTCTGCCTCAGGAGCCTCCCATTGAGTTGACACCACTCTCAATCCGTCATAAAACCCCTCAAATGCACGATGGACGACCCGGATATGTTGGTCGCTTGGACCCTCCGCCACGTTCAAAGAAGCATGCAAGTCATCATCATCCGACGTTGTCGCAGGCGTGCAACGACCTGGAGAGGACTCTAGCCGGACTCGGTGAGCAGCAGCAGACTCCCGCGCAACTCTCTCCTCGCAGTCCTCTTCAGATTCTAGACGGGCCTCTGCAGATTAGTAGAGGCAATATGGACATGGTTGCGACTCGACCAGCCCCTCGACCCCCTGCTAGCGTGCATAACAATCGTCAGATCCACAAAGTCAAATCCCGCGAAGATGCGAAACAAACAAAGAAATCACTGAAGAACAAACCGTCCTTTTCCTTCTCAGTACCCGCTTTCGGTCGGAAACTGAGTCGTGTCCATCAGCGATCCACCAGTAACACCAGCTCTAAGTCAGAACCGGAATCCTACAGGGCCAGCATCTTACATCAACCAGCTGTCGCAGAACTCGGAGACGGCGAGATCGCTGAGTTACAGGGATCTTCAGTCATTGGTTTCCGTGAGAGACCTCTTTCCGCTGGCGGGGAGAAGGAACTTCGGATGAGGCTTCCCCGCCTTCAGACAAAGGAAATGGGGGAGTCCAGTCGGAAAAGAGACAACATCCACGGCACTCATGAAGACCCTGAACAGCTAAGAAGGCCGCATGAGAGAGCGAGGGGCGCTTCTGTCGGAGATAAGTACTTCGTATCGTACAGTAAACTCGATGGTATACCAGCCACTCGTCAACATCAACAAACTTCGCAAACTTCAGCGATGGTCTATGAGCTGGAGGGCGGTTCCCCACAACCGCCAGCCGAGCTGCAAGGCGATACTACCACTGCGATCGATGTACCTGTCAGGGTATCTGTCAGTGTATCTGTTGGAGCAATGCCTGACACGCTGCCTGACCGCGTTATATTGACGGTCTTGGAGCATATCACCACCCTTGATGACCTTTTCAATGTTGCGGTAGCCCGCAGAGACTTCTATCGGGTGTTTAAGAAGCACGAGTTGAAGCTTATGAGGATAGCTGTATTTGCCATGTCTGCGCCAGCGTGGGAGTTGCGCGAAATGAGCCCGCCATGGGATACCGAATGGCAATTTGTGCTGGACCCTGACGCCCCTGTGCCTGAATACACGCCCAGCCGCTATCTCAAGCGCTATGCCGAGGATATATACACACTGGCTCATCTCAAATCGCTTATACTAGCTCGTTGTGGGACTTTTCTGCGCCCCGAAACGATCCGTGGGCTATCCGGCACCGACGATGTTCGTGCCGCCGAGGTCGATGATGCCTTTTGGCGGGTTTGGACTTTCTGTCGCCTTTTCGGTTCCGGGAAAGGTAGAGAGGGAGACATCGCGGGGCAGTTGGATTGGTTGAAGGGTGGCAAGGTAGCCAGGAATCGACGTGTCTCGGAATTCACGTCTATAGCCGATCCATATGACGCGAATAGCGTTTTGTTCGAACCTCCTGCGGGATTCGGGGACGGCAATACAGGAGGCCTATCAAAGGAGCAGCTTCTTGATATGACGGAAATATGGACCTGCTTAGGTGTGCTTCTTCAGCCAATGCACGGTAAATGTACTGAAGCACGAGCAACTGGAGTATTCGACGGCCATAATGTAGAGGCAAACGATTCTGCCAAGGAAGAAGCAGTTCTAGGTAAGCGAATCTCACCTTGATGAGTCTCTGGTCTCACTGTTACCAAGTCGCTAACCCGTCTGAGTAGAGGAGTGGACCTACTACATTCTCACACTTGGACTTTCAGCAGTCTTGGTGCTCGGCTCAATCCATTCCCATGACAACACTACTGCTGTTTTCCAGAGGGCCCATTCGATGGGCTTGACAAACTGGGAAGCATCTGACACTGGTGCGAGCCGTTCGTCATTCCTGAGAGAGGCTGTGTCGAAAGCTTGCCAGCCACGGGGAAGTAGTACTTCTCAAGTGTCAATGCGCTCTCCTGGCTTTGGCTCTCAACCTTCGGGGTCGCATGATGTATCACAAACTTCTAACGTTCCCGGCGAGAGAGAGTCTTCGCCTGACTTCCATCGCCGACGGCAAGCAGCCTATTCTGCCCAGTTAAGGAATCAGAGGCAGCAGCAGCCCAGTCCACCCAATCCTGTACTCGCTGAAGAACGGCCCATATCTCATTATGCGACCATCATGAGCCGCCTAGAAGGCCTTCCGCCCGCGCCTCAGCCGCCAATGTCTGTGTCAAGGATAGAAATACCGCCTACTACCCACTCTTACGTGACAAACGTGTCCTATGTGCAACCCCTCCAACCAGTCACACCAGTGTACTACCCACCACAGGTTCGCGACCCTGTTGACCACGCCATTGACATCATGGTTCGAGAGCTTGGCTTTGCCGAAGAGGATGCCAAGTGGGCCCTCAAGATAACAGACAGTGGCGAGGGTATAAATATGAATGCGGCGATATCTTTACTCACCAGGGAACGTAGAACCCATGAGCAGAGCAGCAGGGGATTTTCCCTGAGGAAACGCAAAAGCTTTCTCTCCTCGGTCATCAACAGTCCGGAATCGAGACATTCAGGCTGGAAATGGGCTTGAGCAGCAATGCATCTTCAAGAATCGTTGTCGCTTTATCTTCACATCAATGGCAGCTAGGCCTGCACTTGTTGTACGTTCTGATTCATAATTGCATTGTATTACGGCCTGCCTTCTTCCAAGGGTTTCCTTTGACTCTAAGGCGTTGTTGTTCGGGTTGATACCACTGTGTACCACAATTTTTTGTTACTTTCATCTCTACTACAAGCGTGTATAGCCATATTTTACCATTCAATCTTGACCATCCAAGATTCTGAGGAACCATGAGAAGATGTTATTCTAGACACCTCTTTTAGCGGAACTTGAGCTTACAAGGACGCCCATTGATCTACTGGATAACCCCCTCCCCTTCTTAGGGATGTATTTTTCAGACTGCAGCATCATTTTGTAGCAATTCTGGAGCCCTTTCGTGAGGCTGTACACCCGGGCTTATAGTGCTGAAATGGCGCAGCTTTAGAAATCAAGGCGGCCTTCGTCAGCCGATTTGCAAGGAGCTCAGCGATGGATGGACGGAAAGCTAGCAGTAGCCCTGGATGATGGCAAAATGATCATCTATTCTGTGTCGAGAGCATTTGAGATTGTTCATCTGCCGGTATGTCACGCCAGTCCACGTACTGTAAGAGAGCCGACGGACCGTGTTGAGGGTAAGGCTATCTATCCTTACAGGCCAGCGGAAATCCCGAACCTTCCCGTCTCAACCCACTGCAAGCCAAATACTACTAGCCAGCTCAACTTTCGAAAGCCATCTGCTTCGGCGGGCGTTCTTTCCCTGGCGCCCTGGAGAGAGTGGCCCAGAGCATCGAACAAAAGGGTGAAAGTTTAATGGTTTAATTATAACTATTTCCGATGTGACAAATCGGGCCTGAAACAAACTTCCAGACTATTGTCTCGGGAAACTGCTTCGACGCTCATCTCACCCGCTTCCTTGGTGCTTCTTCGGGTGTTCTATTCTAGTTTCCTAACTTGCAGGAAGCTTCATTACTTTATGCAAGCTGTCATGGACACGGTGAGGTCGAATGGATCCCGCTTGCACGCACGTCCGGACGTGCTTCAGCTGACAGCCAAAGACCCAGCATGTTCATTTATTCATTGGGGTCCCCGACCTTGACATGTCCTTCGAAGCAGTTCGACTGGCATGGATATTGCTGGAACTATCTCGTGGTCTAGCCAATTATTGGAAACGTCCCTGACGCGGTTGTGATGTATCAACTCGGGAGGAGAGAAGGGCCCCCGACGATCGCAAACGAGGCTTCCCTTTGCTTTTTTTTCGAGTCTTCGCCGAGAAGCACGACTCAGCCTGGGAGATCTGACGAATGATGTGCCAATGGCATTGCTTAGATGGGGAGAAATTATGAGCAAAGCAAATAAAGGGAAGAAAAGATCGATATGATATGATATATCTATGGCTCGACTTTTGGGACAGACATAATGCGGTGAGAGCGGAGAGGCGCGGACAGGTTTGACCCTCGAACTTGTTCGACGCAAGGGGGGTCGGTTTGTTTATTGCAGGGAGGAAAACGAGGGGAACACAGGCATTGCACTCACTG